ATTCCGCTCAACCAGTACCGCGATCGGCTCAGCGTGACACTTCTGTGCTCTGCGATGTCTGCCAGCGTACTTTCGCCCACCAGAAATACAAGAATCGCCACAAGTGCCTGGCCGAGAGGAGGAAACCCATATCTGAGCAGTCCGGCAGCCGACTATGTAATGCATGCGGGAGATGGTTCTTGAGTGCTGGCGGGCTAGCTTCGCATAAGTGTCTCTCCAACTCGGCTGCTGAAGTGGCGTCGGTCTCGGCTGTGGCTTCGTCAGACTCGGTCCGGAAACAGCGGGTTGCCCTGCCCTGCTGCAGAGCGCATTGTCTCGGCTGCGGTCGCTGCTGCAAGTCATCCCGTGGTTTCGACCTGCATAGCTGTGCTAATTTCCTGTCCAGGAGGTGGAGCGGCGTTTCTGGATCCAATGCTGAACTCAGTGCTGTCTTCCCCTGCACAGGGGACACGTGACCATTTGATTGCATTGTTACCAAGGATCAAGGTGTGTGTGTGTATGTATGTGAGTGTGTGAGTATGTGTGTGTGTATGTATGTGTCAAACAAAATTCAATGCACATATACCAGTGTATTGAATATCGGCTTCTCTTCTCAGCACACTGTCTATACATGTTCATGTTATGAATAAACCAGGAACTGTACCGTATGCATATCTACTGCCTTATTCATTTCTATAGACATGCATTCTGTATCTGATCTAGGATTTCAAACCAACCGGGCACACGTACACGTAGATATACGGCACAACTCTTGCAGTCGGGTCAGAGCCGGGTCTGGTCAAGTGCAGTTACTGCATGTAGATCTACATAGATCTGCGTATAGATCACATGTACATGTATATTCATTTTGGTCTCTAGCTAGCACTAGTAGCAGGATTGTCTCTTGTCCACGCACTGTCATAGTATGACTTTCATCCTTTGAGCAACTCTCTTCAACTTTCACTTCACTTGCCTGCAACGACGCTTCACCAGCACTCTCCAGAATACGGGTTCCCAATTGTTTCTGTTCTTGTCCCTGCCCCTAGCCATGTCCCTTTACCAGTGCATGTCCATGTCCCTGACCGTGTATCCGTCCGTATCCCTGACTCTGTATCTGTCCACGTCCCTTTACCAGTGCATGCACATGTCCCTGACCCTGTATCTGTCCAGGTGTCTGACCCTGTATCTGCCCAGGTCTCTGACCCTGTATCTGTCCATCTCCCTGACCCTGTATCTGTCTAGGTCTCCGACGCTGTATCTGTCCAGGTCTCTGACCCTGTATCTGTCCAGGTCTCTGACCCAGTATCTGTCCAGGTCTCTGACCCTGTATCTGTTTGGGTCTCTGACCCTGTATCTGTCCAGGCCCCTGACCCTGTATCTGTTCATGTCCCTGACCCTGTATCTGTTCATGTCCCTGACCCTATATCTGTTCATGTCCCCTGTACATGCACAAGTGGGTGTATTGGTCTATAACCCTGTCCCAGTGTCCGTGTGTCTGTGCGCCCCATAAAACTGTGGATGTCCATGCATCTGTTCAGTTATATCCCTGTCTTTGGTGTTGGTATGATGAAATCTCTCCCTGTAACCTCGTCCCGACCCAAATGTTTTAAATGCACCTTCTTTTTAAAAGGTTCTATTGCCTCCATGGAGGTATCATAGCTGCGAATTGGGAACCTGCTCCCACCTGCATTTGGTATGGCACGTTACCTAACTTCCCTTCATCAAATTAGCAGACAATCAGGCAGCACGGATGCCATCTCCCCAGACTATTTCCCTGGATCCTACAAGAGATGAAGATATTTTTTTATGAATACAAGTTGGACACATACAGCAAATTCTGCTGTGAGTTTTGATTCAATACGGCTTTTGATTATCACCTTCTCGTAGGTAATGCACGACTTTCGCTGTTGGTATTCCTTGAAGGCTGTGTTGCTCGTATATTCATTGTGGGAAATCACACTTTGATATCTCAGCCCCTCAAGTATTTTTTATACATGTATGTGTTACATCTGCAGCATTGCCTTCTGTTAATACTATACTTCGAAGTAGTTCCTTCGCTCTGATTTGTTCCTCAGCACAACGTTGATTCCTGGAGAGTTGAATCCGAATTTTTGTTAGAATGACTAGAATCCTATTTCTATTGTTTGTGTTTCACCATGTTCTCATTCACCTTGTATACAATTGGACTGGGATGGAGAGCCAAGGATGAATTATAAGAAAGAAAAAGGAGCAAGGAACTACAAGTTGCAAGTCCCCCTCCTTATGTTTGTATTCTGTAAAATATGATGCTTAGAACCTTCCAAGATGCAAGGCTGTTGGAGTGCGCATCCAAGATGGGCTAGAGCTGTTAGCCAGTTAGTTGTAGAACGTCAGTGTCGTGCAATGTTATCGCATGGGCTGATTGTTTAGTAACTGGTGGTGTTATAGTGGATAGTGTAGCGTAACTTGTAGTTTCTTGGTCCTTTCCCTTTTAGCCAAATCTTTCTCTTTTGTATAAATTAATCCGGCCTTGGCTCTCCATCCGAGTCCATTCCTGCACATTCTATTGCTTTTAGCACTGTCAAGAATAAAGACAGCGCAATGTTGTAGGGTTGTTGCAGGTTAGTGCCAGAATCTCACCTTCATTGTCATAGTAATCCCACCACTCCTCACATGTCGTTTCCAAGGCACATTTTCGCTTCTTCTTGTTTTGCACACGTCGTCACGTCCGTGTATGAGCATGTTTGAGACTACGTGTATTCGTGTAGTGTGCATGCGTGTGTGTGTGCGTGTGTGTGTGTGTGTGTGTGTGTGCGTGTGTGCGTGTGTGCGTGTGTGTGTGTGTGTGCGTGTGTGTGTGTGTGCGTGTGTGGGTGTGTGTGTTTGCGTGTGTGTGCGTGTGCGTGTGTGTGTAGTGTGCATGCGTGTGTGTGCGTGTATGTGCGTTTGTGTGTGTGTGTATGTGCGTGTGTGGGTTTGCGTGTCTGTGTGTGCGCGTGTGGGTGTGCGTGTGTGTGTGCGTGTGTGTGTGGCGATTAGATATACCGTACGTACATGTACATAGTGTGTGTTCATGTTGCTTAAACAATGGTGTAACTTTGTTCGGTGTAGTTCCCTTTCACGTTTTAAAATTATGTTGTTGATATAGGTCTACCTTACTGGTTTCTCCTCACTCCTGCTCCTAGCCGATAGCCCTTTCCCAAAGGTGCTCTTTTAATTCGCACTTAGTGCTTTTCGCGTCCCACAAAATATGCTGAAAAAGTGCTCTTTTTTCAGTGAAAAAAGGCAAAAAGTGCTCTTTTTTCAGTGAAAAAAGGCAAAAAGTGCTCTTTTTTCAGTGAAGCATAGCCATGATACATGTTCAAATATGAACACAAGCTGAGAAATGAATACACACTCTTCCATTTATGGGTCCAAGAAAGGCAAAACAGGAAGTAAAATTCAAAAAGCCCACATTTTACAGCATTGTGTAAAAGCTTCATCAACACTTACTTGTTGCCCCCAAAAAAGCGGCGTGCCAAGGCCCGGGCCCATCGAGCACTCGGAAACTGTGATCGCAAGCATGAGCAAACAGATTTTAGCACTTTTTCAGCTAAAAGAGCTCAAAAAGGGCGATATTCACCAAAAAACGCAATAAAGGGCGAAAGAAACGGGCTTTTCCAAAAAGGGCCAAAAAGGGCGAAAAAAGGGCGAGCACCTTTGGGAAAGGGCTACTAGCCGAACATTTGTTTGGCATGATACTAGAATTATGCATCAAAGAGACTAAATGTACCAGTACTTGATTTGCTGATGATGTAGCATATTCTGTACTATGAGATGAATTACTCTAACATCACTTTAAAAACTTGAGTTTTCTCCCTCTTGTATGGTCTTTTAGCCCCTTCCCTCACACAAGCAAGTCAAGAGAGAGGTTGCGCACAGCGGAAATTCGTAGCGCCGTAACGAATATTTTTTAACGAAAGGTAAGGAATATTCGAAAACCGTGAGGTTGGGCACAGCGCTTGAACTTTTTTCGTAGTCTGTCCCCGGGGAAAATTGCGATCCCGCGGCCGCGTTTTTTTCCGCGTTTTTTGCGATTTTTGAAAGACCGCGTATTCCGCGATTTTCCCGCGTTTTTTGAACTTTTTGTTGCACTACACGTACACACAGTGCACTGTTCGGTCAGCAACGTCTCATCGTGGCGGCTTTTTACTGAAATATGACGAGTGATTACACCAGAGACTTGTAACTGATTGATTTCACTACATACTCACTGAAAATTGCCGCATTCACCGCATATTTACCGCATATTTACCGCATATTTACCGCAAATTCACCGCAAATTATGCCATATTATGCCGCGTTTTTCCCCGCGTTTTTTGCGATTTTTTCCGCAATTTCCCCCGGGGACAGCGTAGTGCGTCGACGCGGCAGCCGCGCGGGGGCGAAGAGTCAAGACAGAGAGTTGTAAAATATCAGTATTTTAGTGCTCCAGGTAACGAAAAGTATTTTCGAAGATCTGGTCTGTTTCGGTCAAGTTTGGACGGATCTTCGGAGCAACTTTCGTTACTCGAACCCGGCCGGTCGAAATTTCATTGTGCGCAACCTCTCTAGTAGCTCGCGAGGTATCTTTGGATTGATTAGCGCTGGATTCGCAACACCTGGTAAAGTTTGTTTGATTCCTTGATGATGTTATGGCCTGGAGAGCACGATGAAAGACAAGTACATGTAGTGGTCTTCCAGCGCAGTCTTTCTCAGCCTACTCAAGCTCAACTGATGAGAGATAAATTCCATGAAACACTGACTGTGCATTGAACAGGGACTGGTGCTTTCTTGCACCTTTGCCCGGTCGAAGGCTCCATGGGTATGGCGTGTGCCTTGGATGGCAGTCGTCAAGCCGTCAACTGGCGTCGAGTGTCAAGCCAAGTCAGTGACAGTTCACTGACACTGACAGACTCAGTGGATAGCACGATCTTCAGTCTAGGGATCTGACTAGGGAGCAACCAACAGTTTCCATGGTTTCGTTCCATGTATTGTGGATGCTTGTGGCTCAATGTAGCTGAACCATCGGACCTTATTTGTCAGCTTGGATCACGTGATCCATCCAGCTGCCGCGTGCGGCAAACAGCCCAAATAGCGCTAACTCTGGCCTGCGAGCGTTTGCTGCGACTAGCGCGCTAGCGCTCGTGACATACACAAACGCGCTAGCCAGAATGCTTTGACTTTGATGGCTTTCAGCTTCTATTTTTTGAAAAGTAGCGCGCTCAGACCAGCTCGCTCACTCTTTTCCTCTTCCATTTTTTAGGGCAATTGTTTTGTTTGATAGACGAAGCTTAGGGTCTCTTTGGGTTTGCAACCCTTACCCTCCTGGAAAAAATCATAGTTGTGCTAGACTGCGACACTTCAGACCAGGTACTATTAGAGCCGCTAATGGACGACGAGCTATTTTCCGCTATCCGGAGCTCAAGCATTTGAGCCGCTAAATGGACGAGACTCCTGAGGTAAAGGATGCAGAGAATGAGGAGAGAACACTCGTATGGAGCAGGGAGTAGGTAGTGTACTACTTTCTGGTATGGAGCACTGAGAAGCGGTAAGTCTTAGGGCAATTCTTAGCCAGTAATTACTTTCTCGCCATAATTATGTTCTCGTTTTTCGTGTCTTCTGTAATGCCAGTACACTAGCAGTACGACTACACTGTAGGCGAGAGTCCATAAGCCAGAGTGTGCAGCTCTCCATCTATGCAGCATATACAAATTAATGACAAATTTCCTTTGCCTAAGGGCTGGGTTCCACTGCCGCTACGCCGCACATCATCCACGGCATGAAACGTCATCATTACGAGCTGGTCCAGCGAGGCCGCGGCTCATCACCAGCTTTCGCTTCGCTGCTTGATACAAAAAAATGCAAGCCGCGGTCACGGCTTGCATTGTTTCCCGCACTTAATTGTTTTATTCGGGGGAATTTTAATTCGTTGCACAGGCCAGAACACGAGGATTTTTTTTGGATTTCACGCGCGCGCAGGCAGGCTAAATGTCATAAAAAAAACGTCGAGCACGATCGCGGTACCGTGAATGGCGAGTGTCACTGGAACCGCGCCGCTCTGCTGCATGCAGCCAAGTACCGTGGAGCAGAGGAGCTGCGGAGCCGCAGTGGAACCCGGCCCTAACCAAACTTATAGCAATTTGAAAATGTTTGACAATTTTTCATAAAACACTTGACAACATTGTTCTTCTGTAGAGTGCCGCTGGCAACTCCATCGATGAACTCCATCAATGAGCGCAGGGATAAAGTTTAGAAACCCTTCGAGCGAGAACGTGTTTTCAAAAAGGAAGCACAAATATGCCGCGTAACTTCCCCTCTAGTACTGTATGGCCCCATCAAAGCCACTCGCTGACTACTTACCAGTAAAATGGGGTTGGACGGTTGTCAGATTAGCTGACATGTTTTCTGCCAACACAACCATAAGCAGTTGTCAACTCTCAAGACTAAAAGAGCTTGCGAAGAAAGTGAGAAACCTTGGCTATGAAAGCACATGAAGCGTCAGAACATAATCGAGCAAACTTGGACCTAGATTACCAGTGTCTGCTCCAGAGCCGGGTCAGTGGCCCTGTTTGTGAGTACTTGGACCTTTTGGAAAAAGAACACTGGGTTACCTGCGACCCGGTCGGAAGTCCTGTCGAGTACTATACTTTTGTATACCGTTCGAGGGTATACCGCCACTGACAGGCTGCATACGCGTGCAGATGCGTGCGGCCAGAGTGCCCAATGCGAGTACGTTCATACATGTACATGTACAATCATGTACATCAGGAAGTCGAAAGTAAGTTTACGACTCCCTGACACACAGTAGCCGCACTTGAACGCATCTGGCTCTGGCCCAGTGTTGCAGGAATTGTGCCAGGTAGACGTGTACCCGGTTTGTGTTAAATCTTAGAGCAGGTACTACATACCCTATCATATCTGTGTACATGGGTAGACAGAGTCAGTGTTGTTGCGTCCCACTCAGTACCCTTCTGGTTCATTTCGGCACCAGCACTCTTTGCGTATGCAGAGTTGAGTAGAGTGCAAGTTCGGACCACAAGTACACTGCAGCGGCTAGTAGCCTAGCAAACCTAACCTGTGCCGTGATGCCCGGCACGTGTGTGCATCTACTTCATCCCTGAGTAACACACCTGGTATATTGTGCACAATAGGGCACAGTAAATAATCAGCATGCATCGCAGTTTTCTGCAACATATTCCTGAAGTCACTTTACACCTCAGAAGAATTGCGTCGCTGACTGGAATTCGATACCGGTTTAGTTTCTCTCTGGGTCATTATCAATCATAGAAAACCCGTCATACAATAGGTTCAAGCTAAAGTACCGTATCACCATGGTAATTACCTGGAAATTCGGTGTGTTTTCTACGTTTTTGTTAAACAAGCAGCAATGTGCAACAGAAATTACCATGGTGATAGAGTAGATGACCGTGTGAAGCGGTGTGAGATGCAGCAAAGGTGAGCCTGTTACTGCGAGTCTATGCCCTAAACAATAAACTTTGCCGTGGGATGATTCTCTTTGGGCTGCACACTCTGGTTAATGTACTCTTGGTGGCAGCATTCTGGTGCCAAAGATGATATTTTTTCAGAAAAATAAGCAGTAGAGAAATGGAGTGGGAGTAACCAGAATTATTCTATTAGCAGAGCTGCAATACTTGGGATATGAGATTATTCCCGTAGCTATGCAAAAGACGCTATTCAGTTGTACTTTAGTAGCATCTGGCGCTAGCCAGTATCCGCACCGCTGTAATTCGGTGCGTGTCACGGTGTCTGGTAGGGTGGTTCACGTGGCATGCCATGGTTGGTGCAGTATCCCGTATGTGTCCCGTACCGTAATTCGAGTATGCGGTGCGCACCGTAGCATAGATGTATCTGGAGCGCTGTACGAGCTAAGATGTCGGGGCAAATATGGGGACATTCACAACATGCAATGTGAATATGCACGTCAGTTTCGTTTTAAGAAGTGGGTTTGACGGAGTAAGAAAAGGCCCCAGCTTTGGCTGCTGCATGCTAGCCCAGTGGGTACCAATCTCCTGCCATCGGCCGAGTGCTGATGGAACGGAGTAGAAGAAAAAGAAAGAAGAATATTGCGTTCAAGAATACAATTTCGGTAAGGGATATACAGTAAAACCTGTAACTAAAGACCGCCGTCACTAGCGACCAGCCTGGTACTACCGACCACTTCGCCAGGCACGGAAGGTCTCACATTCAAAATGCACTGTGACTAGCGACTACCTTCTGAACGCGACCAGCGACCGCCTTTTCCTGTCCCAAACACAATTTTTGACCCGTAACTAGCGACCGCGATGTAGGAAATCAAATGTTGCTCGAAGCTCCTTCTTGAAATTTTACTGATTTTCCATGGTCCTGAAAAGAATCTTTCGATACTACAGCTGAACAAATGAATGCAGGTAATTTTGGCTGTGGAGTCGGTGTGGACTGCACTACACCTGTCAAAATTTCAAGCGCTGTCAAGAAAAAACATGATAGGAAACGTCTTGGAGAGCGCATCGAAAGCGCTCTCTGATCGATGTTACTACTCGGAGGAGAAACGAAGACTGGGCGGCTCTGTCACACCAGTCATACAGACGGATTGACGATGGCATCAAGGAATCCAGAAACAAAGCAGCACCACAAGGTCCTGATGCTGAAGGATCGCGTTCAAGCAATCCAGAAGTCACAACAAGGACAGTCGGTATGATTGATCGCATGAACAAATTTGAAGCCCAGCGCGAAACGAAACTTCCCCAGGGAACGTTTGACTCCTGGCTTCAGAAGTAGCAGCTGAATTTGAAGTCTGCAAAAAATTAATCTTCTCTCTCTCTCTCTCTCTCTCTCTCTCTCTCTCCATCTCTCCGTCTTTCTGACATTACGCAAGTCCTGGGGAATCGTATTAGCTGCATTTTGACATACATATCATATAATGGGATCCACATATGGTCACGCGGTGCAAACCTCTAACTAAAGACCACCTGCTACTAAAGACCGCTTTTGCTGGCACCAAGGGGTGGTCGGTAGTCACAGGTTTTACTGTACCGGTAAGTGGATAGCTAACTAAAATAATTAGCCGTATGGTTTAGAAATAGTGGTGGCGACTCTGGATGGCAGTCGTGAGTCCGTCAAGTGTCAAGTCGACGGAATAGCGCTAGCTCCAGTGTGGGGAGCAAACCCATTCCTAGGTTAGCATCCCCCCACCTCACAACAGAGCAACCGAGTTTTGGATTAAGCTGGGAGTGCCGATTCGAGCAACTGGTATGATGGCTCTGCTTGGAGCCACTAGATGGCTCGCAGCTGAGCCGGCAAATGACTCTGCTTGGAGCCGGCAAATGACTCCGCATGGGGCCACCGAATGACTTCGCATGGAGCCGCCGAATGACTCTGCATGGAGCCGCCGAATGACCCCGCATGGAGCCGCCGAATGACCCCGCATGGAGCCCCAAATTGACTCCGCATGGAGCCGCCAATGACTCCGCATGGAGCCGCCAATGACTCCGCATGGAGCCGCCAATGACTCTGAGTAGAGCCTCCAAATGCTAAATATATTGGTATGCATAACCAGTTGAGAGCATATATTCCATAAATCGGCACTCCCGGAGCGGGTCACAAAGTGCAGCTACCCGTGCAATCTGTAAGCGGTGCAAGCTAGGTAAAGACTGTCAGAACTTGATATCATGGGCTGAGGCCATTGCCGCAGCCACCCATACTTTGGCTGCAGGTGGCGTCCGAATGTTACTCGGGCAGACATCGCTTTCCACCTTCCCGCCTCTCTGAATATCGAGTCCCGCAGCTGATTCGAAACGAGTGGCCGGTGTACAACGCCAGGCCAAAGCCACAACTGATGAGCAATATCCTCGCAGTTGCTGTAAATGCCCATCGATTGGCATTCGCAGCTGATGCCGCTAGTTTTCCCAGGTGCTGCGGGCTGCCACAATTGCAAACAACCCTTTGCGATTGCTGCTCTGCTTGATTGACTGTCCATCGCCCTATCCCCGGTCGCAATTGTACGAGCACCGGCCAAGTGCAC